GTGCCTTGGCTGAAAAATGGGATTCATGACATAATCTCTGTGAACAGCCTCATTCCTAGGTCGTGGTAAAGACTGAATACTTTACTACATTAGGTTTCCATAGCATGTGGTACATGGTATAAGTGTTAACTTTTATTATTGCTATTTTAGGGTGTCTGACACATAGTTATCGAGTCTCTAGCATGTGTCGAGTGTCACGCAAGGCTTCGGAAACACGCGGTAGGTGACAGACGCCGTCCCTGCCTCCCAGAGCTCACGGGGGAGACTCACCAACCGAGCCCCACACGGGGATGGCTGTTCTGCTGGCTTGACCTTCCTTTGCAGGCCTCTCGGGTGTGGCCACTGCCCCGAATTTCCCTATTTATCTGAGTGTCCGGAACAGCGCTTCACGCACCGTACGTGGCGTACCCAGGAATGAAGTACGGCTGATGGTGGCATCGGTCACCAGTGCAGGCCACAGCTGTCCGCACCGAGAACGGCTGGGCGTGGACTCCGGCTGGGAATGAGGCATGGCATGAGTGCTGTTTGGGGGGGCAGCCTGCCCCAAATGCTCCTTGCCACCACAAAGTCAATTCTTTGTGTCCGAAATCTAAGATGTGGAAACCAGTGCAACAGGAAAGACATCAGCGTGGGAGTCGCCCTGCCTGGGTTTCCGGCGCAGGCTCTGCTGCAGAGTGCGCAGGTGACGTCGGGCCAGTCTCTCCCCACGTTTCCAGCCTCAGTTTCCCCAACATAAAACCAAGGAGGTTGGATCCGATCGGCGGCTTTGAAATGCAGCCTCTCCTTCCTCTGTTATTTCGTTTGTTCCCTCCTTTGTCCTCTTCTTGTTCCTGTTGCTGCCTGAGCCATTTAAAAATAAATTCACACTCGGGATGTTCTGTTCAAAATGAGACTGGAAGTCTGGGGACTCTGGCATGTCTCTCTCTCCCCGCCACCTCCTGCAGCGGTCCCCGAAGCACCTGGCCAGGCCCCCGAGGTGCCGGCAAGCCCTGGGCGTGGGCACCCCTGGCTTCTTAGCTCTCCCAGCTCTCTGCTTCAGCAGCCCATGACTCAGGGCGACGGAGCCCAAGTGCCTTTAATTAAAATCATTTCAACTTCTCCCCATTAACGATGATTGATGCACCGACCGGAGAATAAGTGCATTAATGCTGTAATTATCTGTTGAGGATGTTTTTATTGATTCTGCAACGATATTTTAGTCAGTTTGTATTATTTAGTTTCTGACTGATATCGGGAGGAAATGGCTGTGGGTGAGGAAATTATTCATCTAAATCCAATTGTCATTGATGTGGTGGGGAATAAAAGCCCAGCTCGGGCCTGGCTGAGTCTTGTGTGTGGCTGAGGTGATTGATGGTGCGGGCGTGGGTGGGCGGGGACAAGGCTCCCGGTGGCCGCTCTGGGGCTCCAGGGGAAATGCCCAGCTGCCCTTGGAATTTCCCTCCCGCCCAGGCTTCTGGGATCCATTCTGGAGATTGCGGCTCAGCACATAACCACAAGGCAGAGCCCGGCCTAAGCCTTCGTAAGCTTGCGGGTCCTTGGGCATCCCTGCTGCTGACCTCAGGGCTCCGCTGACTCTTGAAGGGCACACGGAGAAGGTTCTCTCCAACCGTCTTGGAATCTGAGTGGAAATCCTCTTGGGCTCAATGGCAGGCACCCAATGCAGAGAGACCTGAGCAAAGATGGACTCGGCTCCCATCACGGAGGCAGCTGGAGGAGGACCTGCTTTTAGCGGGGCTGGGCCTAAGCTCCAGGGACGCCGCGGGACCTGGTGCCTCTGTCCCAGGCTGGGTTTCCTACACGGCGGGGCCCTCTTTTCTAGTTTCGTGGTGCTAAGAAATGGGCAGTAATTCTATTCAACCCAATTCCAGCTGCACCCCCCGGGGAGCATTGCCCCTTCCTCTCCTACTGCCCAGGAGCAGACTTAGCACTTCCCAGTCTTGTGAATGCAGCCGCTGCAGCCCTGCTGGGCTCTGCTGGGTCCCCTCCTTGCACCTTCTCACCCAGGATGCAGGGACGGCTCCTACGTGTGTAAGGCCGGGTCTGAGGCACCAGGAAGAGCAGGAAATCGAGCTGATCTGTGCAAACGGTTTGAAGCTTCTGCTCAGCTGTGGTGTGCCCTGCCCGACGTTCTAGGGGCCAAAGTCAAGTGCGTGGCTCAGACAGGTACGCTTGCTCTTCCCGTGGAGAGGGAGGTGAGGGAGCATGTTCGAACACTAATAGGATCGACCGCCCAGTCTCTGCAGGCGGAGAGGGGGGAGGTTGCAGTTTGCTGGACGTGTGGTAAAGATCAGCCACCCTCCTCTGATGTATTACGACCCCCTCATCCAGCACCTGACAGTTCTCTGCCGCCCAAGGCCCCGCCCAACTTGTCTCCTGGCGACAGGGAACTTGTAACCAGCAGAGGAAATCTATTCTATGGGTCGATGGTCTGTCATCCCTCTCGAAAAAAATAATGACAAGGTATTCTTTAGTTCAAGCTCCCACTATGTGCTTCTGTATACAAGAGGAGAGTGGGGAGAAAGAGGAAAACGTAAAGACCTTGTGCCTCATTTTGGGGGGCAGCTTCATGCTAAAAAAAAGAAAGAAAAAAGCAGAACATGGAAGGAGAAGAGGGAGCTAGAAAGCCGTTCTCTCGGTGCTTCTGTGCTAATGCCTGCGGCTCGGTGGGAACTCCCTGCCCGCCCTCCCTGTGGGCTGGCTCGTCTCCCAGGCCAGTGACGGATCTGTGGTCCTGACCGAAGGCCAGGCCCCTACTCAGGGCGGAGGGCGAAGTCCTTGATCAGTGGGAACACCTCTTTCTCCTGGATGTGGCTTTAGATGAATTATTTACTTGCACTCGTTCTCCAGTTGCTGGCCAACAATTAGAGCCGGCTAACAGGCCAACGAGCTGGCGCGATGCACCCAATTATCTTCTGAAAATGTATTTGTGTGATTGGGGCTTTTAATTGCAGCTTAAATCACCCTCTCGTGAACCGAGCCCCTATGGAGGGAACAAGACCAGCTAATGCAATAATGAGAGCTCTGACTCTAATTCAGAGGCAAGGGGACGCGGAAAGATCGTTGTGCCTTTTTTATTTTCTTCCCTTTTCTAAACGATCGCCTTTGAAGACATGGGATGTCGTAAATCCCACCGCCCAGTGGGGAGGTCACAAAACAACCGGCTCATTCCAGACTGAGCACAATAGGAACAGCAGGCTGTTTTGTTTCCTGGGATGCCCTCGGCCTTTTCCCACTGGCGGGTGTTTGGGTGCCAAGGTGGGTACCCCCATTACTCCTAATCAAGCAGCCATGGCTTTGGAATCCACATTTGCCACAAGGGCGCCCCTCTCCGACCGCCTTCATCCCCGCTGCTCAGACACGGAACAGCCACACAGGGCCGCGTGGGAAGCAGCCTGCTGCTTGATTCGTTTATGCAGATGCGACACCAGCCCGGAGCCCCCCTGAGCCCCGGGCCCCTCTCCCTACTAACTCACCGTGCTTAATTCAGATGACTTCCCTCTCATGAAGAGCCAATTTGCCAATTATCCCTGAAATGTTTGATTAGGTGCCTTTTACCTAAGATGCCGTGCCCTGGGCTACGAGGATCCTTTCACTCCCTCAAAAGGAGGAGGGGGTGTGGCTGAGAGTCACAAACACAAAGGTTTTCAGATACGGGCGAGTCCTTCCTCTCCGAGGCTTTGGACCTTTGGATTTGCATCTGGACCACGTAGATTAAAAAACGGCAACAGCAAAATCCATAATGGCCACCATTAATCTAGCGAAATGCTTGTTTTTCTAGCCGCAATTAAGGATCGCCCAGGGAGTCTCAGGAAGTTCCGATGCCCAGTTCCCACCCCAGGGTCTGCAGTTTCGCGGGTCTTGTTGGGACTCGGCACCCACGTTTTTAAGAGCTCCCTGGGTGATTCAGTGGGTACCCAGTGTGGAGAACCTCGAATTTCATGCCTCCAAAGGACCAGGGGCTGAGTGAACAGATACGCATGTGCTCACACAAACTCGAATGAGGTCGGTGTGGTTATTCCCATTTCGCAGGCCGGGAAGTGAGGCCAGGAAGGATCTCGGAACTCACCCAAGTGCACCCGGCTCCTGGGTGGTCAGGGCAGGCTGTTGGGGTTCGGTGCTCCAGACTGTGGGGAGTTTGGGCACAGGGTATTTGGGTTGTTTGAGGTTTAAAGGCCAAGGGTGTTGGCGCAGCTGGACTCTCATAGAAGAAACCTGGTGGTGGGGCAGTGTTTTCCTCTCCCAGAGCAAGGTGTGAGGTCCCCTGTCCAGGAAACAGGCCTGGGGCAGTGAGGACACACATGCGCCTCGACTCTGTGGGAAGCAATCGACTTGAGTTGGCCTCCCCGAGGGCCTTCTCCCCGGGGAATGGAGAGGTGCCTACAGAGAAGGCCACTGGCCGTCTCGTCCCAGCTCAGTCCCTCCAGGGAGCTGATGTCTGCCAGGGAGACGGCGCTTTCCTTCCTCTGCCCCCTTCCTGGCCCTTCCATTCCAAAGCAGAGGTGGGAGCAGCAGAGAAGGCCCCATGGGGGGGTGGCCTGGGAGGGGGCTTGGGCCTGCAGATGAGCGGCGGAGGAAAGCAAGAGATGTGTCAGCCTGGCATTGCGTGCAAGCATGTGGGGCCCGGGCTTGCTCTGAGAGTCGCTGTGGCCACCAAGCTGGGCCCCGGAGGAGACTGGTGGCTGGGGCATCTTCCCCGCAGTGTTCAGAGAGGCCCGCCCTGGGCCCGGCGCAGACTTCGCTCTTTGTCTCATCGTGGGCTCGGCCCTCCTCACTGCCGTTTCCCGTCCTGCTGGGTGAAGTAGTGCCCCTGCGTTTTAGGGATCCGAGCCATGGGTGTGGGGACAGGGGGTGGCCAGAAGACAGCCAGCCAGTCCCTCTGCTGCACCCTTGTTCAATATGCCAAAGATAACTTCTTTGGTGGGGGGGGAGACCGGCAGTTCTAGAACTTTTATCTGTTTTGTTTACTGATATATTTCCAGTCCAATGACGGACACATAACAGGAGCTCTGTGAATGTATTTAAATGAATGGATAAACACAGTGCAAGAAAACTGGGGAAAGCCATAGACTCTGCAACCCGGGACTCGGAGCACGAGAGGCCGAGAGAAGCCAGTTCTCTGAAGATGTCTTCACCAGTGTGACGGAGTCACGGGCACAGTGGGGTGCAGGGCCGCTGGGGAAGGTCACCGCTGTGATCCCCGTCCCTGTCTACTTCCACGTGCGAGTGGGGTGGATGGCGCAGTGTTGCGGGACGTCGTATCTTTGGGTGCCACGGGGAGATACGTAACACCTCTTTCAAGGTGTTTTGGGGGGATTACAAGAGGCAATTACCGCAGCGCTCAGCGAACGGACCGAGCATGGTGAGTGCTTACTGAATCATAGTTCACAGTCATTATCAGGAAGCACAGTGTGATCCCCGCACGCCAGGGATCGTTCATCTGCGGCCACCTGACGAGCCAGCAGGATTCTTCTACGCCCTTTTCCGCCTGCTTCTCATCCATTTTCTTATTCAACTAGCTCTGTTGGTGCAGTGCGGGCCAAACTCCGTGCTAGGGTCGGGGTAGGTGACAGCAAGGAAGACAGGGAGCTCGCTGCTGCCAGGGCTCCTGGTGCCTCCTGCAGAGAGGACAGACCTCTCCTCACAGGGCCCCCCCTTTTAGGTCTTCCCGCTCCTCTCTGGTCATGGCAAGAGCTGGCCTTCCTGTCACACCATCTACGATGGCACTAACATGACCCAGCTTGATTGATGACATCCCCAGCAGGAGAGATGGAGAGCTACTGCTTTCTCTAGTGGAATGCTCTCCCTCTAGAACCTGGCATGGCTCCCTCTTCTTCCCTTCAAACTCCACTAAGACAGTGCTTTCCTGGGAGGGCCTTCTGTGTCCCTACTCCGCTTTCCCAGTCGCTCTGTGCTACGTTCTCCCAGGGGCCCCTTCGGGCATCTCTCAGAGCTTCTGGAAGGTGGAATTTTCCACTGCGGGTTGAGCAGGGAATCATCTGACAGTACAGAGTCAAAGAAGTGAGCCCCCACCAGCAGGCCGGACAGTGTCCTTTTAAGAGCTGGCATGGAACATTTGACGTAATACAGTGGGGGATCAGAGCATGCTGAATCATATTTAGAAAAAAAAATGCTTTTGAAAAGCCCAGGATAGATGATGTTTTTTCATGCTCATCAACCTGGCTGCATAATCTGCTCGGGGTAAGTGGACAGGGATGGGAAGGCAGAAAGCCGCTGTGTCGGGGGCAGGGAGTGGGTGCCTGGCCCTGTGAGCAGCGTGTCTCGGCCTCCAGAGGGTCTGGCTCGGACGCGGGGCAGCTTCGTGGGTGGAGGCAGTGTGCACGGTTAGACAGGCTCTGCATCTCTTCGGGTTCCACGTACCAGGGCTGGGGCATCCGCACACGAACCGATTTCCAGTGCAAACAGGGCTGATATGTCGCCGAGGCTGAAGAAGGCCCACATCTGAGACGTGTCAGGCTCTGGGACACCAGGCAGATGAGCTCCCTGCCTCCCCTGGTCATCTTCATGAAGTTTGCTAAGCCACTCTCGGATAACGATGTCATCTCCATCAGTCAGTGGTCCTCTAGCAAAGCTCCTGTTCCTTTGTATAGCCTCCCAGGGGACATCGCTGTGGCTTTGAAGACACAGGGAGTCACCATGTCTGAAACGCACGCAAGTGACAAGGTTAATCCCTGCAGCATTGGGCCCGGATGTGAGAGGCAGACACAGGAGGCAACTCAGCATTGCCGGCGCAGGCCCTGCCAGCTGGAGGCGGGCGTCCTCTCAGCCACAGAGGGGGAGGGCGGGTGCTTCGGGTTTTGGCGGGGGGCCAATGGCACGAGGCAGGCTTGGCGCCCATCTTATCACTGTGGGGATTCAGTCTGTGACTTAGTGCCAAAGCTGTGGCAAGGGGACAATGGAGAAAAACCATGTGGGTTGGCCCAGTTCTCTCCATCCCTGCCTGTCTACCGACAGGGGCGCAGGGGTCTGGGAAGCCCACCATCGGTATATTGGCCGCTCACAGCTGGCTCACTGGGCCCACCCTTCCAGGGCAGGGTCCAGACCGCACGATTGTCCTTTTTCCCTCATTTTGTCAAAGGTGTCACCATTGTTGCTGTGAAGGAGGGATAGGATCGCACTGCCGCTCTGCCATGTACACCTGGGGTCTAAGCCGGTCATTTCTCCTTTCTGCACCCCAGTGTTTCCCCAGGGGTGGCGGTGAGACCGAGAACTTGAAGGGGATTCGGAGACTGTCTGAGACTCCCACGTGGAGTCAGAAAGCAAACTTGGAGACTGAGACCAGACCTTGGGGCACGCCCCAAGGAGTGGAAGGCAGGTGGCGCACAATGAAATCCCAGGGCTGTGTGTGAGCCCAGCCTTCTCATGTGCCCCTGGAGGAGTGGCGATGCTGACGTCTCCCCCAGGATGGTGGGGCTGGGGGTCAAGACTGTGCCTCATCCATTTCCAGGCTTGGAACACAGGAGGCCCTTGGCAGACGCAGGCTGAGCACCCTGGTCAAGTGAGGGAGGGAGGCAGGTCGTGCGTTTTCTAGGTGCCTGTGGCCCCCACAGGACACCCAGGGTCCCAGGAGGCTCAGAGACCCTGAGACACAACGACCCGGCCTGTGGGCCACCTGGCCTGGACTCAGGTTTGTCCTGGCCACACTGAGATTGCACGGTGGTTTTATTTCAGCTGTGAGTTTGCGGGTGTCAAACTCCTGGGCCCAGAGGGCAGACCCATCCAGCCCCGTGCCTGCAGGGGAGGAGGGGCAGTCTGGCCGTGCAGAATGCCAGGCCATCTGCGGGCTGCCTGAAGGTGGGCTCACCAGGGAACATTCTGATGGCGGCATCTGCTTCAGCATGTCCTTTGGGAGCCAATGATTAACACCTGGAGTTTTCAGGTGACAGTCCAAGGTCAGAGGGAAGGGTGCCCTGGTCTGATGCCTGGTGGGGCATCTCCTTGGCGTCTGTGGGGACGCTAGGCAGATGGCCTGTGACCCTGAACACTGCCATCTGAACTCTTAGAAGTCACACCGAGGGTCCTGGGAAGGCAGAGCCTTGGCTGGTTCACGACCTTGGTGCACGGGGCTGGACTGAGTCTGTGCTGAGTGAGGAAACAAACGGACCAGCAAAGGAAAAATGCACAGAGGGCGTGCGGGGAGGGGCTCACACCTTCTGAAGAGGGCTACAGCCAGAGGCTGGGAGGCCCCGAGCTGATCCCTTCTCTTACCCTGCCACGAGGTCGCAGACTGGGACCTCGTGGGCCCCCTGGGCCCCAGGCAGGTGTTGTTGGGCCAGCGTTGGAAGAGAAGGAAAGTTCTGTTTGAGCGTTATCCTGACTGGCCCCTTGGGTCCAAAGAGAACTCAGGGCTGCCTCTGAGGAAAATAGCATCAAAAGCAAGAAGCAAGCTCTGGTCTGGGGACTCGCACCACCTGAGCCCCAGGTGGGCCTGGGAGGCCCGACTGCAGGCCGGTCTGCGGATTCACCGTCTCCGCTCAGTATGGACCCCTCCTTCTGTGGGACCAGGTCTGACCGACCTTGGGGAGTGGCACAGACCTGGTCTCCGGGCCCCTCCTGGCCACAGGCACCGGGTCCAGTATGTTTTCAGCACCAAACCCAGGGGAAGCCCAAGGCTGGGGGCCGCAGGGCTTGAGGCTTGCGGTGCTGGCCAGGGTGCTGAATTATTAATGTTTTTTTGTTATCCTTTGGTTCAGCAGAAATATGACAAAGCCATCTCAGCGAATGAAATCACCCACACCTTCTGCTGTTCACAGCAGGCCTTTGGAAGCACGGTCCTGCCCCCACCTTCCCAACACTGACTGAGTTACACGTTCAGGGGAGGGGACTGATGCCCGTGGTGGCGCCCGGCGTGTAGTAGTACATAGATTAGAGTCACCTGCGGACCCTTTTTCAGTGGGTCAGCGACTGTTCATGGGCAGCTGGGGGAAGAGGAGTCCTCTCAGAACAAGGTACTGTCATGTCCGAGGGGTCTCTGGGGGGTACTGGGGGGTCGTGGCCCAGCCTGGAAAGCCTTCCCTCTGCTCCCCGCTCCTCTCTCTCCATCTACCTGCCTCTGAGCCTCTCCGCTGGAAGCTGTGCCATTCCATGGCCCCTTGGGTATCACGAGATGCATCTGAGCACTTCTGGAAGAGAAGGAGCTCGAACTTTCGGCGAGGGTGTTGTTTTATCCCTTCTCTTCTTTTCCCCTCACTGTCTCTGGATGACCCTTCGATGTGAAATAAAAAGAGGCAAAGTCCACACCCAGAGTCTAAAGTAGCAGCAATTGAAATTACCGTTAATAATCCAGAAACCCAGGACCCCAGATCAAGTGCAGCCGATGTTTGCCAGGGGGCAGAATCTGGCACATGGCCACATCGCATGGCTTCATTATAACCAAACCCCCTCTTTGCTGATGGAAAAGACCAGACGTGGTGGACTCCATTTAACAACTGGGGATGTCACTTCAACACCATAGAGGTGTGTGTTCTCCTGAAGTGTCTGAAGGCCCAGCTCTGCACACCCGCAGAGCCACAGCTGTCTGGCTGTGAGCCCCGAGGGTCCGTGTAAAACCCCCTTCTCCCAGTCTCTGAGCCTTGGCGGTGTGTGCAGCCTTATGAGATGGGTTGACTGGTGCATACCAGTCCCCAAAGTCAAAAGGAAGAAGGAAGAATGGGGTGGGTTTGGCCATAAATTATAGTGGAATCCATGCAATACGTGAGGTCATTGTCTTCAAAGGGTTGCTTCCTTTTGAAATTGGAATAGATTGTTGGCTCATGGATCTCTGGTTACTGTGATTTCAAACCCTTATGAGAGAACCTGACCCAGAGACTCAGCATGTTCCCCAGGCTGCTGTTGAGGTGCCTGGATCGATATATTGGGGTGAGGAGTATATTAGTGTATACACACTGGTATGTTATACACTGTACACTAACGCATACTTGTATATACATGTAACAATGTATGTAATACATAGGAGAGATTACCAGGAGTTGGCTCACATAATTATGGAGGCTGAGAATTTCGGGACCAGCCGACCTGCTCTCAAAGGGCTGGAGGCCCAGCAGAGCCGGGGTCCACACCTGAGAACCCAGGGAGCTGAGTGTGGAAGGCCCAGTGCGGGGGGCCGGGACGCCAGCAGCCAGGCGGAGTGAAGTCCTCCTCCCTGCACCCCTTTGTTCTATTCGGTCCCTCAACAGATTGGAGGAGGCCCACCCACACTGGGGGGGTGTAATCTGTTTTACTCAGTCTACAGATTCAAATGCTCATCTCACCTGGAAACACTGACATTGAAGCGAATGTCTGGGCATCTCATGTCCAGGTCAAGGTGAGATGTAAACTCACTCTCAGTGGGGCTAAGGTTAACCTGAGGCTGGATGAGGTTGGAACAGACACAGACATCGGAGGGCTGTGTGGGCTGGTGCTGGGGCGCTTTGGCCCCTGGGTGCCACTCGGTAATACTCAGTGACTATCCGCTACGGAGTACAGATTTGGGGTCATACTCGGTGTTCATTCACACTGAGTTCCAGGATATCCTTAATTCTGCTTTGCATCCCCTAAACAAACCCCGATTCCTTTGTCACCAGACTCCCGTTCCTCAGGCTCCTGTGGGCCCTGCGGGCGGGGGATGCATTGGGGGAACTGGCTGGAGCAGCCTGGTGTCCCGGGCTGGGGCCAGGCTGGGCGATGGCTGTGCCCAGAGACCAGGCTTCAGGCTAACCTTCTCTGTTCCCACCTCCTGGAATATGAAGGTAAAAAAATAGATGTAATATATGACCAGAGATAGACAGCACACCACCCTTAAAAACACAGGACGGGATCTTTGGCTCCCGATATTCAGTGTCCCAGATGTGGCTCTGGGAAGCCACTGGACGCACAGAAAACCAGGAAAGAGAACCATCACTGAAGCTCTGGAGAGAGCTCAGGGCTCTGGGAGGGGCCCCCTCAGAGATCGGCTTGTCCGGTCCTCTGCCTCCGGGTAGATGGACCCTGGCCCTGTGTCAGAATGATGGAGACCTTGGACCCTGCCTCCTTCACGCCCCCCACCCCAGGTCGATGGGGGGGGGGATAACACAGCAATCTGACAGCAAAGGCCTGTGGTTTGCCTTTGGCTGTGAACCCAGGGCCTGCCCCTCAGAAGCCCCTCGCCTGCCATCCCCTTCCTGGCCAGTGTCTATCAGTTGCCGATGATGGGTTTCTCAGTGCACCTCTGGCTTTTATTTTCTCCCCACGAACATCATCTATTTGTCCACTTCATCCCAAAATAGCCTGGCTCCGCCATCCCATAATATCTCTATCCTGTGTCACTCAAAATGGGGGCCTGGCAGGGGCTCTGAGCTCTTCTTCCTGTTTTTTCTTTTCTTTAATAAGACACCCCGGGCTCTGGTCAATGCCTGTCGTCGGTATTTGGGAGTTGGCTGCTTCGGCAGCAGCCGCAGATCCTGGCAGATAAATCTCCCCTGCAGCTGTCAGCACAGAGAGGGGGGAGCGCTCAGCCGGGTCCTCAGAGAGGGGACTGTGAGATTGCCCGATCTGTCACTGATCCTGCCCTCTGGGGCATCACCCCCTCGACCTTCAGGAGGAAGCCAGTATATGTTTTTTGCTTCGAGGGTCGTAGGAGACAAAGGCTCTGTCTCTAAAGGTGCCTGTCCCACTTGTCCTTAGTGACAGGTGGGACAGACCCCGGTCATCGAAAACAGGAGACAAGAGGCCCTGTACCCCGCCCAGGGAGCAGTTACTGTCCCACTGGCCTCGTCGCAGACCCTCCGCCACTGGAGGGAGCTGCCTCATCTCCAGCCCTGCTCTCCAGGGTCCCTCCGGCTAATTCTCGCCGCTTCTGTGCCCCCGAATGGGCCACGCATTTTTCCTCCTTAAGCCGCATCCAAGGCTCTCTTCTCGCACAGCCCAGCACCTGCCCAGGCAAAATTGAGACATGTGCGTACGACAGTGTGTTTCCATGAAGACAGATCACTCTGTCGCCAAGGTCAAAGCTCCCGCTGGCCAGGCTGCTTGGCAAACGATCTGTCAAACGGGCAGTGGGCAGCAGACAGCCCGCTCTCCGGGCCGCGCCGGCCGGCCGGCCAGACCCTGTCAGAGGGTCACTGCGCCCGGCAGAACTGGCCTCCTTCCTCCGTCCGTCCGGGCCTCCCCAGCACAGAGGGGTGACTTGGCACAGTACTGTACATTCTGACAGGGACCCAGAAGGCAGAAAAAATTCTTCTGCAGAAATTGGGAAATTTCTCTGTCACTTTACGAGGCGAGTGCCGTGGCTCCTCGTGAAGTTGGAAGAAGCAGATTGGAGCCGATGTGGCCTGCGGGCCCTGCCCCTTGGGCGCCCACTTTCGGCGGCGAGGACTGTCCGGTGCACCCTCCGCTAGCCCGCAGCCCCGCACTGTGCTCATTCGTCTGCTGACCGTTCACCGACTGTTCATTGAACTCCTCCGAGTTGCCTGGCCGGGCACACTCTGCCGGCCCTCACAGAGTTCGCTGCGCGTCAGAAGGTGTCTCACTGTAAACAGGTGAATAAACAAATCCATTGGGAAAGTGTCACAAAGATGACAGGCAGCCTGCGGATCTGGCAGGCATGCCGCCGAACCGCTCTCTCCACCGTGCCGCCTGGTCCCAGGGACTTCCTTCTATAGAACGAAAAGTACTGCGATGTCCCTTCGAAGATTATAAAGAAACCACGACATCTGTTGTGCTTGCCCACGGTCTCCATCTCTCTCTGAGCCCGGACTCTGATAGAAGCCAGCTGCCACCTCCACAGAGCCCCGTGAGAGGCCATGTGGCAGGGGACCCTCGTCAGCAGCCTACAGCCAGCGAGGGCCCGAGTCCTGTCCCAGCCTCGTGAGTGAGCCGGGAGGTGGCCCCGCCTGCTGCTGCACTGTGAGAGGTCGGCAGCCTCTGTGCACACCCTGATTCCAGCCATGAGACACCCGGAGCTGAGGGCCCAGCTAAGCGTGGGGGCCGGTGGCACTCAGAACTGTGTCCTTGTCTGAGTGTTTGTTGTCTGAAGCCCCCAAGCTTTGGGGTCCTGTTTTAGCCAGCGATCCTATCGACTGGAGCCTTGGAACAGAGATTCAGAGGAACCCCACCCCGTAGAGGGGCGGCCACAAAGGGCCTCTCCCAGGGCACCCCATTGCAGGCGAGGGCCAGCCAGATAGGAGCTGGGAGAAGTGCATTCCAGGCAAAGGGAACGGCATGTGCGAGGCTCTCAGGACAGGGCTTGGACTTTGAGGGTCGTGCCTGGGCACCGTGGGGGGCCCACGGGGGGAGCAACCACCACCCTCTGCTTTTGAAAAGTCGAGAAGACAGCCCACACTTGCTTACCCATCATTACAAATCTTCACAGCGCTCCTGCCCGGTGAGCCTCGCTCGGGCTGTATGAGGAGGCAGGATATCACCACTATCACTTTACATGAGGGGAGAGCATCTGAGAGCTAACAGATGGCGGAGTCAGGGTTTGAACACGTTAGTCTGCTTCCGCGAGCCCACACCCTAGTGAGTCACAGGAGAGAGCCGGGCTGTGCTCACCTTGGGGGAAAGAGGAAGGAGGGAGACAGGGCTCTGCAGACAAGTGCAGTCAGGTGTGGTCAAGTGCAGTCAGAGGAGGCTTCCTGGAGGAGTCGGACTTCTGGGTTGAAGAGTCAGAAATGGTCGTGTGTTTGCCCTTCCTTTGACCTCCCATCCCTCCTAGTGAGACAGGGGCCGGGGTTCCCCTGCCAGCTCTTGCCTCTGCCCGGGCACTGGGAGGCCTGTCTTTTCTTCCTCAGTCGTATCAAGGCCCAGGCAGGAGACCCGAAGGGCTCCGAGGATAGAATCACTCAATGGGCAGCTTTGCCTAAGAGCTGAAATGAGACCTGCTGTGGAGGCCTCTCTGTGGGTGAACAGATTAGCCCGGCCGCGCCACTCCCAGTCCCCCCAGTCCCCCCAGTCCCCCCAGAACCCCGAGTCCTCCCAGCCCTCGCAGCCTCCACATCCAGGCGGCCTGGCTTTCAGTGACTCTCAAAACCACAGACCGTTGCTGGGCTCCAACAATCTGATTTATCTCAGAAACAAGCCAAACATTACCAGGTGGGGTGTGCAGTTTCAATATGCGGAGCTTCATTTACACGCAGAGCCAATTAAGCAACTGAAACACCCACGAATCGATTAGTGCATGAAAAAGGACACATCCATTTGCAGAAATACCCTCGATCAGGTTGTACAATGTTTGCAAACTTAATTGCCAAATGGAAATACCTCTCCGAGTGGCTAATAAATTGAAACAATTGACCTTCGCCGGGATGGTCTTTCATTGCCGGAGTCCAGCAGCGGCGTCGGGAAAGCGTCCGTCGCTGCCATTTCAAACTCAAAGTCAGAAAACCCTGCGGCTCTGGGCCGGCCTGTGCCCTTAGCCCGGGCCGAGTTCCTGGCGGGAGCCCACAGGCACTGCTTGTGGGGAAGTGGCCGGAGAGTCTGCAGGCTTTTCCCCATTTATTTTTATTGTAAGAATTTTGCTGGATGACACTTTTGAAAGGCGCTGTTATTGTTTACCCACCCTTCCTTTTAAAGCTATATGACATTCACAGAAGTACAGTAACTAGCCCAGTCAGAAAGCTGGCAGGGGGAGGAGTCGGCCTTGAACTCGGGGTCACCGTTCTCAAGTGCTGCAAATTCTGTGGTAAGGGTCAGTGTTTGGGCAGCACAGGGGAGGGTGGGTGCTACTGAGGTGCGAAGAGAGGAGCTTACTGGAGAATTCCACGAGAACCCCGTTCCCCACGGTGGAGCCTTGTTCTGCATAGAACTCAGGACCTGGCAGTGGGCTGGCCAGGATGCCCTGGGGTTCCCCTTTTTGGGGGGCAGCTGGAGCCCTGGCACCCAGTGCACCCAAACCTACATTCAACGTGAGCCTGGAATGCCACGTCCAAGTGCCAGACTCTAATGAGCATCCCCATTCCCTGGAATTCACATGTTTTGTTGGAGGCTTCCAAGCCAATGACTTCTCCTAGTGCCCTGAAAACAGCTGACCCAGCAGACAACTCCCCACACTGAGTCCTCTAGACCGAAGTCTATTCACCCCCAGGAAGGAGGTGGCCTTCCAAGTCTGGGGACATTTTTTGGGCCCTTCGTCTGAGTCACTAGCTGGACACGTGTGTCCACGTTCATAGCCAGCGAAGGTCGCTCCCAGAATGCGGCTGTTGGCAGGTTTATACTCCTGGAGGCACAGGTGGGCAGAGAGATGCGTCTCCCCCCACAGAGCAGGACGGGAATTTTCCTGAGTCAGTGGAGCCGAGCGGTTGGGCTCGGTGGCCTGCACAGAGCTGCACCGCGGAGCCCGGCTGCCTGCTCCCCAATCCCCGCCCGGCCCTTCACAGTGGCTTCCAGCTGCCTCTCCATGGGGCTTTGGGGTGTTGATGAGTCCCCTTAGACTCTTTTCTGGAACCCTAAGTCCTACTGACTCTTTGTCCTCCTTAAACTTTGTCCTTATTGCCATTGCCCAATCAACCCACTGTGACTCTTGTCTCCATTATGACATCACTCCCCTAAGTGGTTTCCTTGCCCTGGAGTTTTCTCCTGGCTTTGGCCACGTCACTGAGCGTCCAAGAGCCCTGTGGGCTGAGCACTGCGCGCCGGCTAGAATGGTTGACTTACAAAGCACAGCCAAGGGCAGCCAAGGGCAGCCGACGGCATGGAGCAACTGGAACTTTCCCACCGTGCTGGGGAGAAGGTGCAATGGTACCACCATGCAGGAAGACCGTTGGAAAGTTTCTCGTGAACTTAAATGTGAATTTAACATGTGACAGCACTGCCTCTCCGAGGCATTTTCCTCCAGAGCACTAAAAATTTGTGTCCTCACCAAGACCTGTACACAAGTGTTTATAGGAGCTGTACTCACAGTTGCCTCAAACGGGAAGCAAAGACCTCCGATGGTGAGTAGCTTGCAGCGCTGTTGGAATCATACTCAGCAGTGAAAAAGGACCAGCCCCTTGGATGAATGCTGAAGGCACGTGCTGCATGAGAGGAGGTGGTCTCGAAGGTCCCGTGTTCCTGATTCCGTTCCTTTGCAGAAAGACAGATGGTAGTGACGGAGGACAGATCAGCGGCTGCCAGGGGTGAGAAGTTCCAGCAGGGCGTGGCCACAAAGGGGGATTTGGGGTTATGAACTAACTGTATCTTTCGTATCTTGGTTATGGTGGTGGTTACAAGACTCCATGCCCATGTTAAAAATTCACGGAAGTGTGCAGCCAAAGGAAAAAGTCCCTTCCGCCACCGGGCAAAAACTCGAGTTACCTGGAACGGCACTGGAGACACCTTTGGGTCTCCCTCCTGCCCTCCTCACCAGCTCTGTCTCTCTTGGCCCCTCTGCCCCTGGTCCTTGTGGCTGGGAAACAGCACCACCCTGTGGGGCTAGCAGTCATCCTGAGTGTCCCGGGGCAGGGAAAGCTGGAGGGCTTCCCGAGTGGGTCCAGAGCCATCCTGCAGACTGGGGAGCTCTTGTGGGGGAAGGGTGGGCCGGGAGGGCACGAGGCTTCCCTGCTATAGGGTTTCACCACCTCCCGGCTCCCCCGCTCAGTCTCTGTGACGGCAGCGGGGGCCTGGGGTGCCTGCTTTGGAGGTGGACCAGTCTCAGAAGGGCCAGGTGGTGCCTGCGGGAGGCCCCCAATACTTAGTTTCAAAGGCTCTGGGATCGGTGGCCTGTGCAAAATGAGGCCGCGTCCGCTCCTATGCACTGTCGTTACGCCTTCCCTGTGGCCGGCGTAGCCAGGGTGACATGCATGGTCTGAGGTCCCGCCTGCTCACCCTTGCTCATGTGGCTGGTCCGGGATTCAATTCCATGGAGTCAGGACGCTGGAGCGAGACTCCCTGGTGAGCTCCCCACAGGCTGATCTCTGCCTGTGGGGAGGGCTGGGCGCAGACCTGCCCGCTGAGGGAGAAGCCCAAGGCAGGGCCCGACAGACCCTTGCTGTGCACCCCCCCTCCCCAGGCAGGGGCTTCAGAAGCCACAGGGCTGTCTTGGAAGACACTTACTGGGGGCTTATCTTACTGGAACTGCCCCCCAACCCTGACTCTGTCACTCTCTCAGAAAAGACTTACGGCTTCTCTGGTCAAGAGCTCCCAGGAGAGTCCGGGAGAACCGCCCCCCGCCCGCCCCTTCCTGTGCGGAGGCGGGCAGAGGGCGTGGGGAGCAACCTGGGCTCTTTCCAAAGCTCAGCTTGGGTAACAGGAGTGGTTTCTGTGAAGTAATTGGCACCAGCTGCCGCAGTGACTCAGGAGGCTGGGGACGCCCAGGGAGGGGTGTGGGTTTTGTTGGGTGCACTTCTGAGTTTGAATGCTGCCGAGGGGCAGAGAGGAACGTGGTCTGGGGCTCCACTTTGTGGGGTGTCTTGCGCCAGCAGGATGGAAAGGACCAGAGGGACCTACATGGTGACAGTTGTCTGTTGTGATGTAGCAAACCCTTCTAAAGCTGGGCATCTTGCAACGATAGTCACTTATTGGGTGTGGGTCTCCTCACGCTGTGGCTGCCACCTTCCAGGAGCTTGGCCGCAGCTGAGCCACACTTTCCTGGATTTTTTTTTTAAAACACAACGGCTATGTTCCAACAGCAGCAAGAAAGAACACAGGCCGCGATGTACCAGCTCATGCTTGGGTCATTCATGCTAATGTTCCATTGGCCAAAGCAAGTCACATGACCAAGTCCGAATTCAATGTGGGAGGGGCCTACACCAGGAGGAGGGGACAGGGGGACATTTTTCTTTGGGGTGATTTCTATGATCATCTTCCACCCCGTGTTTAGGAAGAAGTTGGGTATAATTCCTACTTCCTTCCTTTATTGATTCATTGATTCATATATTTTCAACAAGCATTTATTGGTCGTCAACCAGGTGGCAGGTACCCAGGGGCACAGAGGATTTCACTGAGAACTGGACAAAGTCCCCGCTCTCACGGATTTTACAGTTCAGGTGGGGAGTCCGGCCATAAACAAATGAACAGACTCAATACCGCCAGGTGGCGAGAAGGACTCAGGAGAAAAACGAGGTGGAAGAGGGTGGGGGATCCGGGGCTCCCTGGCCCTGGAAGTTGTGGACAAAGGAGGGACAGAGCCGGGGAAGCCAGGTCCGTGCTGGGCCGCACGAGAGAATGCCCGGCCCAGAGAGGGGGTTGAGAGGCGACAGGGGCAGAGGCAGGTGGTGCCAGATTCTCTGAGTGGGATCCCCCGTTGTCCAGAGGCCAGGGCGAAGCGGCACCCCACTCTGCGAATGCTCACATGAAACCCCCAGCTTCCTACAGGACGGGGCCCCACTCGCCAACACCCACGTCCTTCTTCCTCATCCTCCAAACCAGAAGAGCTCGGAGAGAAGGGGTGGGGAGGGGACACATCTCGGGTCCGACCTTGACCTCTTTTCTCCTCTCTCATAAGTAGCTTGAGCCTGGCTGCGGAGCAAAGAGGAGGGGCCTGGAGTCAAGCCCCAGACTGGAGGGAAATACAATCACAGGTGTGAGCCTGGATGACGTGGAGACTATTATTTGAGTGACTGGAAGTGGCTGGAAGGTGACGGACCTGGACTGCGGTATCACCGGTGGCCCTCTGAGTGCAGAAGATAAAGGCTCAGCGTCCAGAGGCTCCGCCACCCCCACCCCGATTACCACCCAAGGACCGCCAGGGCCCCTGTATGAAGCCACGCCCTCCAGCCTGGCACCAGGGCCTGCACCTTCCTGCCTCTTCAGGGACGTCACTCCCGAGGTCCCCGCTCTGTCTCCCACTGCACCAAAATTTTCTGCAGAGCCTGCGTACGAGGCTGTCGTCTCTCCCTGCCCAACATGAGATCGGGCCCTCTCTGCTGTGTCAGCTATATCTGCGTTCCTCTGGTCACCGCGGCAGCCCGGCCCCCCATAGGTTGTCTGTGTTTGTCGTCCCCAGTTCTCTCCCTCCTGTGTTCTCTTACACCAAGTGCAGTCTGACGTCCGCCCGCCCCCACCGCCGCTCCACCACACCTGCCATTGGCAGCATCCTCAGGACTTCCGCGTCGTCCAGCTCCCTGCCCCCCAAGGGTGCCCCCTGTGCCTGAGCCCTGGCTCCAGCAGGCTTGGCCCCTGGAAGAGGAGGAGGAGGAAGAGGAAGGCCCAGGAAGCAGGACTGTCTGTGGGGAGGCAGGTGGGTGCAGCCGCCACAGCGGCACCTCCAATCTGTTACCATCAGCACTAACTAACTGTCCTTTTCCCGAGGTGCGGTCTGCCTCATTCGGCTTGAAATAAACATCTCATATTTCGGTCGCAGTTTGCATCCTGGCTTCGTTTCTGTTGCCTCGGTTCCCCCTCTCGCTCCATCTTCTCCTGCTTTTTGGAATGAGTGCGAGGAGGGGCGGGGCCGTGGTGTGTCGCCAACGTGCTTGATATTTACATGGAGCTCTAGATCCGTATTTCATCCCGGGGAGAGGCCCAGACTGAGAGAGAGAATCACAGGGTAGAAGTCTTCAACCTTCCAAGGGCCATTTGAAACCTTCAGTGTCCCCCAATGTCCCCATCCTTCAGGTCAGGAAAAAGAGGGGGACCACCGCCCTACTCGGCTTTCATACTCCTTCACGCGTGCTGCCCGAGGCTTGGTCGTGTCCTTTTCACGTGGAAGGAGAACATGAAGATGCTGACCAAGTCTTCTAGAATGGTCTCTGGCCCAGAAAGCACAAACAACCAAGTGATGACCTAAAAGGTGGGCCGAGGGAGGTCACCCGGGAAAGAGGGCAGATAATGGACATGACTGTGGATGTGGCTGACATCACCTTGAACAAAAGAAACTCAGGGAGCAGCCTAAGGTGGCATCTGTGGGGCTGGTATCAAGTCCTCCTCCTTGTCCTTAAATGGGTTCAGAATATTCCTTTGAATGTCCGCTCTGTGCCGGCCCCACGCTGGGCTCTGGGGCAATGACAGTGATCTAGGGAAGCTGCTGCCCCTGTGGGGCCCAGGAAGATGTCCTGCCCTCTGAGTAAATAAATGAGCACAGGCTCCATGGGAATGAAAAAGAGAAGAACAAGAAGACCTGAGGAAGAGCAGGAGCCTGCCTGGGAAGGACGGCATCTTCCAGCCGGGGCAGAGGCTGGAGGCGGAGGAACTGTGGCCAGACGTCACGGTGTGTGTGACATGTCGCCAGACCAGAAGCAAGAGATGAGTGTGGAGAGAGGCACAGGCCAGATGAGCTCCGTAAGGTTGTGGGGATCCGATCCTTCATTCATTTATGTACCTGCTGAGTCAACAGGTTATTCACCGAGTGTCTCCCAGGGGTCAGGAGTTATTCTCCGCCCTGGGGCCAACACACAAAGAGATGCTCTTCAGGGCACCTGTCCTAGATGGGAGGACATGATGAGACAGTGGCAGAATAAGGAAGTCGCTGCAAAGATCAGAAGGTGACAAAAGCAATGGAGAAAAATAAAATGAAGGGTGAGGCAGAGGGAACGCCCTGCGGTGGGTTTTGCAGTCGTAAATGATGTGGTCTGGGTGTGTCGCAGAGACTGGAAAGAAGATTAGTCACACGAAGATGAGCAGGTTTCAGCACCACGCTGACACAGTGTGCGGCCTCAGTGAGGCAATGAACTGATTAACCCTGTGGTGACGACGACGACGATGATGATGGTGGCCATGGTGGTGATGTTGATGGTGGTGGTGGTGATGATGTTGATGGTGGTGATGGAGTTGATGGTGATGTGATTATGGTGATGATGATGATAGAGATAGAGATGATGTTGATAATGGTGTCAATGGCAGTGGTAGTGATGACAGTGATGGTGACAATGGTGGTGATGATGAAGATGATGGTAATGATGATGTGGCGATGGCAGTTATGGAGGTGGTGATGATGACGGTGATGGTGATGATGGTGATAATGGTGGTGATGATGAACATGGTGATGAAGAAGATAAGGAAAAGGTCAAAGAGAAGAAGGGGGAAGAGTCAGCAATGGGAAGTCCTTTGTAAGAGCCCTTTCCTGACCTGCCCTTCACCAGGAAGTTCTCTCTCGCTCTCTCTCTCCTCCCCCTCCTACTCCTACCTCCTTGAGTCATCAAGCTTGGCAGAGTCTCAGGCCGCCATTTCCTGCACCAGGAGAGGTACACAAATGGTGGCCAATTTTTCCAGAAATTCATCTTCCAAAAATTGCTTTCCATCTATTTTGCTCCAATCCTGTTTTATTTATTACCTAGCAGTGAGCAGATGGAGCCATTTTTCCTCAGGCTGCTTGAAGGAGATGCATTGCCATAGTGGAGTGGGCTGGAGGCTGGTTTATGGCCGTGTGGCCTGGTACCCCACCCAGCGCCGCAGCTGGAGGAGCACATGCCGGCTGGCCCGGCTCCCTGCGGGCTGCCGTTTGGGGATGGCTGTGATCTGGGCTGTGACCTGGCCAAAGCCTCCTCACCCTCTCCCATCTCGGGTCCTCCTTGGAGTCCCTCCCAGCAGGCCTCCCACCCTGGTCTCACTCCTGTGTTCATGAGGGAGAGAAAATTTTCTGGAGACAAAGGCAATTTCCTGCCACCCAAAGAAATGCCGGACCACCTCTTTAATCATCTGAGTTTTCCGAGAGCTGCTCAGTTGAGCCATTTAGAAGTTATTACAGAAGCTAATTTCATCTTTGACATTTTCGATTGAATTTTCAATCCCCTCATTCAAACTTGAAAGGATTATGACCCCATAAGGTGGCTAAGAAGCTCACGTTATAACCACAAATTGGACCAAATCTTCATTGTTTCTGCTTACTTGCTGGGGGTCTATGGGCACACTGTCAAACTTCTCGAAGCCTCCGTCCCCACATTTGTGAAATGGGGCGGCTGGCTGCGTCTGTGTGGTGGGGCCGTGGTGAGGCGTAAACGAGACAAGGTGTGTGGACTGTCCAGTTGCGCGTCGGGCGGACCATGAATGCGCATGAAAGGTGGCCCCTGGCCAGCGTTGGTCAGAAATAGTGTTTCCTCTCAGAGACAAATTTCCTCTGTGATTGTGGAATCCGCAGGCCAGCTGAGTGTGTACCCACGTGACTTCAGATAGGTATTTTTTCTCGAACTCGTCCTTGTATTTTAGAACTATGGCATGTGGACAGCAGCTACGTCCCAGGCTCTCGGAAGGAAGGAGATGCTTTGTGGTGGAGTTTCGTGTAAGGGCCAGGTCTCTGTGTGAAGGCCGGTGCTGCTGAGGCTTCGTGAGTGAGGTCTGCACTTACTTTCAAAGTCGACCTGGTGCAGAATAGAAACACACGTGGGCCTCCTGCAGTCCTCCACCTCACGTCACACGAGGCCTTGCTGTCCTTTCTCCGGGGGCCTGGTGACTCTGGGTGACAGGTGAGCCTCCTGCCCTGCCCGGTGGGTCTGGGGCTTTCCTTGGTCAGATGACTGTGGCGTATTTCGGAGGCAGAGAGCTCGGCAATTCTGTTGTTTGTACTGTGCCTAGTGCTCCCAGGACCAGCGGCCAAAGTGGGGTGGGGATGGAGCAACAGCAGAGAGCTCAGTCACAGTGGCCCCCGTGAAGGTGTCCCTTTATCCTGCCATCTTCCCGTCGTAAGGTGTCGCACCAGCGGGGAGCTAGATCGGGAAGTTCAACATCTTTGTGAAAGCCCCTCTCCCTGAACTAGTCTTTTCCTGTGACCTTAGGTAACCCCTCGGGCATGGAGGACATTCCAGACCCCAATGCGATCTCCTTAGATTCTTCCCGGTCAAGCGTGCCCTGTGTCTCCGAGACAGAATCCTAAGGTCCTGGCGGTGTCAGCCTCTACGAGGATGGGTCCTGGTTGAATAATCCTGTTTTTCACTGGTTCCAGGTCAGCACAGGCCAACGAGGAGATGTTTTCTATCGGCGCTGTGCAAGGTGGCTGGACTGAGGTGTTGCCCGGGACACGGGGCTTTCAGTGCTCAAACCCAGACAGCTGCAAGGGAACTGGCACCAGTGTTTCATTGCAGGCCCTGGAGGCGCCTGGCTCGGGGTTTCCGCCCTGATCCCCTGTGCTCCACTCCGCCGTGGGCATCGGAGGGACTGGGAGGAAGAGGGAGAGAGTCGGAGTCAGCTTTGCCCCAGCTCACGCTCTGTAGATGAGAAAGCTGAGGCCTGGCTAACGCCCAGACCACAGGGGAGCCAGACACGGAGCTGGGGCTGCACCAGGGCCTGCCCATGCCAGCCCTGGGCTCCGTGCATGCGTTCCTGGGCATTTATTCATTTAAACCCGGCCCTATGGAAAGGCGATGTAAAGTGAACTGTAAGCAAGGGCACAGTAAGAAGTTGCCAACCTAGAAGGCAGGAGAAGGAAATCAAGACCAAAGTTGAACACAAATATGCCAGCTTTATTTAATACACAGTTTAAACTGGAGCTTCCTGGAACCCACGGGAAAAAGGGAAAGTCCTCAGGGTTTTCTCAGGAGAGATAGAGGTTTGTTTCTTTGCTTTTTGGTGAATTATTGTCTGCTCGATATCTTCTTTACCAGGAGAGGGTACTCAGAGAAGGCAGAAGCATGCTACCCCCTGCCCTGCTCCAGGGACCAACCGTTCACAAAAACTGGGGCATCGCTTTAGAGCTCAGTCAGGGGGAACGACCAGGAGCAGAAGGGGTCCAGGCCCAAAGACCTTCGAGGGTGCAGACACCGTGTCTGATGCAGAGTTGCCTCTGTGTCTGGGTGCGGGAGCCCAGCCTGATCCCCGCCCCCTGCACCCCAAGGCTTTCCGCAAGGCACCAACACTCTGCAGGGCACCCTCCACCCTGGGCCCAGCCTGAGGGCAGGCTCAGGCTTTTGGAAGCCTGATCGCCCCTGGGCTTTAGGGCCAGGGCCCACCAGCAGGGCTTCACCCCACCCGGTGCCCTGCAGACCGGGTTCGAGCTGGGCAGAAGCAGGTGCATTCCCCCCAACCCCACCTCCACCCCATCCCTGCTCGGGGTGGGGTGCCTCGCGCTGCTGGGCTGGAAGCATCCTGATGCTTCCCGGTTAGTGTCTCATTAGGATTTTTGTCAGCTTTTCTTTTACATAATTCCTCAGGTTTCTTTCAAGGTCGAGGAGGAGGATGCCACCGAGGGAGGGGGAGAGCCCCACCCCAATCAAATTTGGGCAGAGATAGAAATTAACCTTCCTTTGAATACGTAAACAAACCCTGCTCCGGTCACTTCCAGCTTGTCCTTGACTCAGGTCGCCTGAGCAGCCTCCAGTGATTCATCTGCCAGATCTTCTCCCGGCAGGAAAAACTTTATTCTTAAAGGCTTTTTACACTTGAATAAGTGCTAACTAATAATAATGAGCCTGAGACTGAGAGAAACTGTTGGG